GCCGAGATATCGATCCGCTTATTTTTTTTTTGTTTCTCGGATTTCGGCTGGAATGTCGTTGCTCTATCGTCGAGTGTCTATTTATTCTATGCACGAGGGTAAGAGTACGGAAAACAATGCCGAATAGATTTTATAATAATTTTTAGTATATCGAATCGTCGATGAAGCGCTACGAGGACGAGATAGGCGACTACAGATAAGGAGGAAAAAATCGACAAGAAAATCGATTAAATTGCGAGAGATGTTAATGGCAGATATTGCAACGATTAATGCATGGTGATGCGCGTACAGACAATGGGGACTAATGTCAACTGCAGGATTAAAACGCGTGGACTCACGTTCGCACATGCTATTTCGTACTATTGTATACGTGTAGAACTGAAAGAATCGCACATAGACACATAGTGTGTCGTGTGCAGTGTATATTCGTACATATAATATGCACAAGGTAGTGAGTGAATGCGAATAAACTTGGCAACGTCGCGCATTGCCATCTTTTGCCGCAGCCGCCACTGCTGCTATTGCTGCTGCTGCTACTGCTGTTGCCGCCGTCGATGTTGTATGCCTCTCGCTATTTATTATATTCCCTGCACTTTTAATATGTGTACGTATGCGTGTCCGCACGCATCACCTTGCCATCAACACTCTATAAATTACGAAACATACATTTTTTATTCTCGTGATTTTTACCCAATCGCCGATTCGATGAATGACTTGTTCGTTGGGTTTTGATATGATTTCCCGCGCGTAAAAGTGTCAACAAAAAATCGCTATATTCGCCTTCGACTACGTACATCGTATTTAATCATTCATGAGTCGTTAATCGACGAGTATAAAATTATCTATAAAAGTATTTCCAATAATTTATGATATCTATTTATATAAAGCTCATCGAGTCGGTATCAACGACGTACGCGGATCCGATTATCGTTTACCGAAGCAGAAAAAGTACGAAAAATCATTCCAGTGGATTTCAAAGAAATAAAAAAATCCATAAATGTCAATGATCGCGCCGCGAATCTATGTACGTAGTCGCGGGAACCCAGCAGACGAAATCGTGTAAAACTATTGCGTGAGTAGGCCAATTTCGCGGCTTGACGGCTGCTGCTCGCACGTGAAAAATTTCTGTACATCCATCGCGCCAATTTCTCTAGACTCTTTAACAATCGTTATCACGGCACGATATGCATTTGAATTGCTGGGAAGCATCGGCGCGACGCGGTGGCAGCTCGACGGCGAGGCACGAAGTACGTGTGCTGCTTGTATATTTCGACTCGCTGATCGCGTGTATAACCAATTAATCTTGATGTACGGTATATGCTTACTCTTGTATGATGTATACGATAACCACCTAAATATCGTCTGAGGCGCGGGGCGAGCGCGACACACATAAGACTAATTAAAAGCGATTCTGTACATACGATACGTCGTTTTCGTCATTTCACGTTGCTGCTGACGTTGAATGGATGTATGTCTGAGTCCACAACTAGCGGGAATTCCCATTAAAAAAAAAAAAGATCGGCTAAAACAAATTCGTACTCGTGTAATGGACGCGTGTCTGAGTCACTTTTGAAAGACCTTTACTTGCAAGCACACATATGCAATTATTCGGTCAATCATTTCTATGAATTGATCGCTATCACAATTTGTTTTTCTCTTTCCGAGCATAATTACGATTATTCGGAAGAGTCGGAGCTTTTTACCAACGTAATAAGCTTTAATGGTTATCTATCTCGATCAGCGCTTCGATTCTCGCAACGATTTGGTATTTGTAATATCTCTGCTTCAGTTTTTGAAAGGAATTTTTGATATAGATAAAAATTGTTACGCGCTTACGTCAAAGAAGTACCTACTACCTACTCGTTGTCTCGTCTTGCTAAAATAAAAATTACTTCAATACAATCAGTTTCGCGTTCATCCAGAAAAACTACGCGCTTCAATAATTTATAATTGATACGGTAAAAAAATACTTCGTCGTTCTTTTATTTGCTGAAAGAAGTCTTTGACAAACATTTGAAAAACCTTTGATTTAAGAAAGAAGATTTCCGTTCAGCACGGCGTAACTACTAGAAAATACCGGTATTGAATGCAACGCACACAAATCATCGCTGTGTCTACGAGGCGCACACGAGGAGCTTTATTCTTCGCTAATTTATATATATTTTTTTTAGACTCGTGCATTATTTGCCATTACTTTTAATACGCGTCGACCAGAACAGCAGCTACACGAACGAGTTTTCACGCAAAAAACATGTAGTTATGTATATTTATCTGACTTGAATGTAGAGAAGTGTGAAATAAGAGCATCGAAAAAATGTCGACATTCTGCCGCGCTCTCGATTACAATATACAGCGTGTGCCGTTTTATATAGCATTTTAAGGTCATTTTTATCAATCGTAGATGTATATCGCGATTGATAGTCGAATTCATCGATGTTATTTTCGTTCAAAAATCGACAATCTCTATAATATGCATGTGGCTAAGAATTTTCAATAGTCCCTACATACGTAAGTGCTTGAAAAAGGCCGAGATTCAATCTCGTAATAATTTCGTGGTGGAAAAAAATAGTGCCTCCAGGAACTTGGATTGCTCATCAATCATGTAGTTTGCGCAAGCTTTGCGTATTGAACGTGTACAAAAAAAGAAAAGAATTGCACGAAATGCAACGATAGATAATAAAAAACATCGAGATTTATTCATCGAAACACAATTATTAGTAGAGATCGTATCATTGCCTACTTCTATCGCGGTGCATGTGAAGCAAGAAACGCATCGATATTTTTGTAAACGACTTTTGTCGTTATAATTAACGACTTTTGTCGTTATAATTAACGACAACGGCCGACGTTGTTGTTTTATAAGATTAAAAAGTGTTGGTAATTATCTATCATGGCTATTATCGTTTGTATCAACAATACACTCAGGAAATGTATATAAAGTTAAAGAAGAAAAAATATGTTCAACATTGCAATAAATCAAGCTCTGACGGGCGAGGAAGAAAGTGAGAGTAAATTATAATCACATTAAACTTATGTATGCGCTTATCGAACTTTTCCTTCCGGTGCGTAGATGAGAAGTTTTATAGGCATCAGTCTTAACAAGTCTTAAATGGTAGTGAAAAATTCATGATGGCATGACTACCATCTTATCCAACGATTTTCCATCGTGTTCCGCTTTTATAAGGTCAAGGTGAATCGTTTCGCAATCGGCTACGATAAAATCCTCTTTCATCAAAACGTTAACCCACATGCAGAGGGATCGCTTCGATTTCAATCATTGATCCCTTCAAGAGCGAGTAAATATAAACACGTACATAAGAGAGAACTTGCCTACTATAACTTGTACACGAGTGAACACTAGAAGAAGAGGAGAGGCGATGCAACGATATACAAAAGATAGTAGTTAGCTCAAGGATGGTGCTACTCACGATGCGTGTCTGATCGATTACAGGCACTTACGATACATCAAGTCGTAGTAAAAAACATTTCCAGATGGTTTCGTGCTCTTCTTCGTGGCGTGGCGCGACTCGTGAACGTTTTGGCTGCACATATATTAAATGGCACAGTTTTTCGTGAAGTCGACACAAACATAATATCATCGCAGCCCCTGCAGCGAATCATAAATCCTGAAGAAAATGTCTCTCGGTCGCGATCGCGCCTCGCTTACTATATGTAGGTATGGATGTATATTTTCTTCGTTCTAACGTTGGAGAACGGCGAGGAAAAAAAGAGAAAACAAGTTTGCGACTTCGTAGTCGTACATCCATAAAAATTTGCATGCTTAGATCAAGTGCATGTAAGTGAACATATAACGCTTATACAGAAACAGCAAAGTCTATTTCTCCAGTAAACAATGCGCCAGTTCATACATTGCAGGCGGCGTCTCAGCGCCAGGCATTGCACAACCAGCTGAGAGAGCTGCATCGATGTGTATGCTGTATTCTATACACACGTAAACACGACGGCGGACGCGCGCATAGACAAACCCGCGCATGGAGACACCGATTCACGCTTGAATGTGTGTGTTAGTGTACTGTGTACGTGCGTGTGGATGCATCGATTTCGCACGCGCATCTCTTGCGCAAATGTGTATGCACGCGACAAAAAAAGAAGAGAACGAGCCGACCATCGCATTTTATTGCATCGCGACCATCGATCCTTGCGGGGTGAGGCTTTGTTTATGTATACGCATATATTAAGAGCGTCGTCGAAGAGCACAACAGAAGGAAATATTTATAAATCGACTTACGCACGCGTCAGCGAGAAGCCAGAGAAGAATAAAAAGAGGACATGGTTTCTAAGAATTTTTTATACGAACAAATAATGCGTGTATATAAATACACGAACGTACTGGTACGTACCGAGCATGTGAGATCGCCGATGCGTTTAGTGTACGCACTCTAAAAAATACACATTTGAATCTATTTTCTCCTATGTGCATGTGCTTGTGTGTACATACCATACCCACACACACACTGTTATAAACACACGAGTCGAATAGGCATGGCATTATAATTCGAGATTTGCGCTGTGCAAGAAAGAGAGAAGCGAAACGAAACGGAGTGTGGGTAATCGGCGAGCGAGAGAGCGAGAGAGAGACGGAGAGAGAAAACAAAATTGTCAAGTCTCTCTCTTTCTCTCTCTCTCGGGGGGCAAGCATACATACACTCGCATTCGCTCTGGCTGTGCCTCGCGAAAGAGCCAAGCGCACTGCTGCTGCTGCTGTGTGTGCTGTGTGGCGCTCTCGAGGCTCGCACACTCGTGTGCCGCTGCTGCTCCGTTCTTGTATATATATGTATATGTTGTATTATATACATAGCGAGCGTGTTATAAAATTAAGAGCCAGTCTCAGACTAGCGAGCCAAGCGAACGCATGCGACCGAGTGTGTGTGTTGTCATCATCGCGAGTGTATTACACACTTGACAATATATTACAATATATAAAGATACACGCGACGGGCAACGCACACGATCGCATGCACGCACACGCACACGCTAATACGATATTACTTTTCAACTTGTAATAACTCGAATAAGTACATGTGTGTGTGGGTGTGTATCAGTTGGAAAAGTTTTTTTTTGTCTTCGTCGTTAGATAGTGACTAGTTTGTGATACCTAAGTAATGTGCGTTTGTTGATGTGCCCCCTCGTGTATATGTGTGTTGTTGTATATACCGATAGCAATACAGATCGCGAGTGTCGACCGGGAGAGCTGCCGAAGAGCAGCAGCAGTGTACCCGTCGAAAATCGGAGCAGTATTTTTCTATCTTACCGAGAAGGAGAAGAAAGTCTTGTTAGTGATATACCTTACATATATATGTCGCAGTTACGCATCGCAACTGGCTTTAATAGTCATACAGTGTAAGTGAATAATTAAAGTGATCAATTTATCCGTACGAAGAAAAATCTAGGTTATCCGGAGTTTTTGTTGTTCTTGTTTGTTGTCATCGTCGATTGTCAGCAGTATAGTGCCTCTCTTACCCCCCCCCCCCCCCC